TGGAGAACACAAGTGATTGCATTTGTGCGGGAATGGAAAAAAATAAAATTTCCTCCGCACATCGCCGACACAGTGTCTGAGTAAAATAGAAAATATTTTATTAGTCAAACAGCTAACAAATAATAATAATAATACCAACTTTAGCACAATGTGAAATAAAATTGATAGATAAAAGTCATAAAACTATAGTATAACATTTATAAAATGCATACATTTAAAGTCAAGTAATGAAATTGTAAAATTTAATGCAATAGTAATAAACATTAAAGTCGCTACCTCAAATATTGATGAAATGAAATCTAAAGAAAATTATAAACATTTTTTATATGCTACTATCAACAAGTAGACTAATTGAACATTATCAAATGAAACTAAATTTCTAGAAGAAAAGAAAGTCTTACATTTTCACCCAAGCAAAACGAAGATGAGGAAATTCGAGAGATAGATAGCAGTCAGACCTTGCACAATGTTAACGAAGGAAAATCAAATTAAAGTAAAAATATGTAAAAAGATTTGGACACTTCAATTGATGTTGAAAATTTTAATATTTTTAATTTGAGAATGATATCTTGCAACCTAAAAAAAAATTAAAAACAAATTCAATATTGACAAAATCAGGAATCACTAAAATTATGACAAATAAAAAAAATCATAATAAAACTCAAAAATCGAAGTATGTGAAGTAAATGAAGAATAATAAAAAGTTCTACATGTGAATGGTTAAAGAATTCGTAAATTTAGCGTGCGATGATCACGAATAATCAATAATATGTAACCTCGTCGGGGTTCGAGGGCAATGCCCCGATGGGCATCGACCTGCCTAGTCAGGTCGCGGGGGCCGAGGGGGCAATGCCCCTCGAGGGGGTTCCGGGCCAAAGCCCCAACGGGGATCGACCTGTTGGAGTTTATCTGTTGGAAATAATTTTTTTTTAGCAAATACCAAAGATGATGAAAGTAGGAAAAAATAATATTTTTAATGGCCGTGTTTATATTTAAAAAAAAAACGCTCTGCAAATTACGGAGCAAGTGCTCCGTGCTGTGCGGAGCATTGCTTTGTAATGTGCGGAGCAATGAGCAAGTGCTCTGTGCTGTGAAGAGCAAATGCTCCGTGATACACGGAGCACTATTCAGAGGTTTTTTTTTTTCGCAAACTTACAATTTTTTTTAAAACTAAAT